AATGAAATTCAAGCACATGAGTTTGGGGCAAGAATGGGTTAACAGACAGAAAACAGAAAGGAGGAGTAAACGGGTCACTCTAGGAATTAATGGTGAGAGGTTGTGAAGTGTGGGTGTCCTAAGAGACCAGGGTATCCTTGTTAATGAGTAACATTCAGGTCAGCAAGCAATTAGGAGGGCAAATGGTACGCTGGTCTTTTTTGCAAGGGACGAGAGAACAGAAGTGAAGACATCTTGCTGCAGTTGACTCAAATCATGGTGAAACCTCACGTTGAATATCGTGAACAGATTTGATCACCTTACCTAAAAGAGGATATACTTGCCAAAAGGGGAGAACAATCAAGGTTTACCGATAAATCATTGTGATGGCAGGATTGCCTTATGAGGACAGATTGAGGAAATTAGGCTCGTTTTCCTAGAGCTTTGAAGAATGAGGGGTGACCTCAATGAAACCCAGAAAATCCTTACAGGGCATGGCGGAGTGGATGTATATATGATGTTCCCCTAGCTGGTGAGTCTAAATCCAGGGTATATAATCTTAGGATAAGGAGTAGACCTTTTAAGATTGAAATAAGGAGGAATTTCTTCACTCAGAGGGTAGTTAATCTTTGGAATTCTCTACCACAGAGCGTTGTGGAAGCACAATCTTTGAGTAAATTCAAGACAGAGATTGATAGATTTCTAGCTATTAATGACCTCAAGGGATATGGTGATACTGCTGGAAAGGGGACTGAGGTAGATGATCAGTCATAATCTAACTGAACGGTAGGACAGGCTTGATTGGCTGAATGGCCTACACCTATTTCTAAGTTTCATCATGTAGACCCATGAGCATTTATCACCAGCCTAGCACACTGAAGTCCACATCTGAGCCTCCTTCAGCCAAACCCGTTCGTGGACTCACCCTCTGGCATACTGGCAGCAGGACAATTATGCCCATGGCTCACCATATCCAGACGCCATTTCTACACTGTCCTCCAAGACATGCACAGGGTGAGTATCTGAACCTGTGGCTGTGAATGTGAAATCAAGTGACTGTGTGTCCTCATCATCGCCATCATCTTGGTCTTCCACCACCGTCTGGCCAGGTTACAGTTCTTGTGTGTCTGAAATGAAAGTGGTACTAGTATAAGGCTATAGAGCGACAAGAGGGGAAAGTAAGTGGTATATGCATAAACCACCCTCAGCTTCCCAGTTAGGAGAGAGAGGCGGCCATGGGAAGAGAGAAGGAAGATTTCATGTGAGGATACCATCATTGCCAATGGATTCAACCGTGCCATTGATCACAGCCTCAGGAATTGCCCTTTCTTTAACCACCTGAACCATCTCCTTCATGGAGTTAGGACATGCAGGTGGAAACCTTGCCTTCAGTTGGTCCCTATGCCTCCACCACCTTGCACAATAAGAGAGTATGAAGTCATACCATGGTTGAATAGCTGTCAGTATGTGAAAGTTTTGAAATGTGGGTGGGAAGCCTTCAGTGGTGCTAAGCATATGAAGCTATGACAGTAAGATATGAGTTTTGATTGGTAGAGAGTATTAATAGGTAAGTGATGGGGAAGGGAAGACAGTTGTGGCGATATGAACAGGAGCTGGTGGGATGTGGCATTGGGAGTTCCATTCACCAACTCAGACCACTTCTGAGAACTTTAAACTTTTCTGCAAAACTACATCCAGGCCCTAAAGGATACACTTCTAGTATTAAATACTTTTGTTTAAATTCAAAACAGCCAAGTTGACTCTGAATGGTTCAGACATTCCCATGGGAAATGCACTTAGGGAACAGTTGTCCCCTATGCATTTGTCTAATTTAAAAAGATACAGTGCCTGGATATATTCTTCCAGCTTGCAGAGGCCTGTGTCTGAATATAGGCAGCTTCCAGCAAGCATAGGTAACCCTCACTGTGAGCCAGACTGATAATCTTAAACTGGCAGTTTAGCACACTTGAGTTTGTTCAGTTGGTGCTGTCAATCGCTGGATCACATCTCATGTTGGACACTATGTTGAGAAGTGTGCAAACACAGGTTGGTTGGCATCTCACCCCCTTTGTGTCTCCTCCATCAAGATGTCCAGAATGGTGTTGGAATAATCTCAGTGTAAATACACTCCTGTGGTCAGCCACCTGTCTCGACTCCCAGCAGTGTTCCCAACATTGTCAGCATCTCCAGGAGCCACATGTTCCTTTCCTTGAAGAGATGTCTTAAGTAGCTAGCAAGTGCTACTAACAAACACACAGTTAGAGGTTTCTGCCTATAGCATCTGTGACAACAGGCAAGTGATATGAAGACAGTATGTTATGTTGTCTGCATGACATTGAACAGTCATTGGATAATCACATATCATGATTGCCATATCCCTTTTCAGGGGTTATCCCAGTTAGCACCCAACGACTATGAAGTTAGAACCACTTATTCATCAGTCTCTCTTCATTCAGCAAAGGTTTAAATCCATTATTTCAAATAAGTTAGTATCTCTGAAGGGTTCTAGGGATTATATATATAGGATTTCTTCTGGTTCTGTGTTTGGCTGCTCAAATTTGGAAATCACTGGGGAAAAAGGAAAATAATGCATCATAAAGAGCGCCATGGTGAATAAGTCCAGGATTTCAGTGTGTTCTGAAAAGTTGAAAGTTTACAGAAATAATGATTAGATTTAATAAGAAATAGCATGATGGGATAGCACAGACCTCAGCGATTTTCTAAGGTAGAATATGTGAAATATGAAATGTGAGTTGGACTGGTGTTGACCTGGTGGCTAAGTCTTTCCATTCTTCACATGCATCACTGACTGTCTGGACTCAACAGTGTTGGTATGAAGCTGCAGAACCGCTTTCCATAATGGTGAGGCACGAAAGTGGGTTCAAAGGTCACGCCAGGTGTTGTGCCCCAGCAGTTGCCACTAGCAAAGTCTAATGAAGCTGGTCCAAGGATAGCATTTAGAACCAGAAGAGGTGATCTAATTAAATGATGCAAAATTCTCACAGGTGTCAACTCAATAGATGCAGAAAGGGGGTTTCCTACTACTGGGGATCAAGAATTGAGCAACATAGTCTCAGATTAAGACATGCCACTTAGACGGTGATGAAGAAAATTTATTTACTCAGAGGGTTGTGAATCTTTAGAATTCTCTAAGCTGGAGTGCTGTGGGAGTTCACACATTAACTATATTCAAGACAGGAATCAATAGATTCCTAGATATTAAAAATATCAAGGGATAGAATGGGAAAATGGTATGAAATAGTTGAATTGGACAGCAAACTCGAAGAAGGGCTAAATTGCCAAGCTCTGCATCTACTTTCTATGTCCTGAATATCCTACGAGTCCAAAAGGTTAGGTTAATCAGAAACTAATTGTATTAAAGTAAAAGGGGGAGATTTTTTCCTTTAATTTGTGTACAACATTAACTCAGAACTCACATAATTTCATTAAAGATAAAGACTTCAATTTCTACCGCACCTACATAACATCTCAAAGAGTTTTAAAGCCTTTGAAGTGTTGTGCTTCAGGAAGCACAATAGCCAAGTTGATCACAGAAAGCTCCAACACAAAGCAGCAGATAGCACCAACCTGTTGGTCTGTTTTAAATATTGGAGGAGGATAAATACTGGTCAGGATGTAAGAATGAACACTACCATCTTATTCCTCTTCAGGTAGTGCCAAAACATCTTTTACCTCCACCTAAGACAGCAGGCAAGGTTTAGGTATAACATTCTCTTTACAAGATGGCATCTCCAGCAGTGTAGCAACCCCTCGCAGGCCTGCCCCGCTAGATTTTGAGCTAAGTCTCTGGCATGGGATTTGAGCCCACAATGTTTTGAAACAGGAGTGTGTGATACCCACTGGCCCATAGCTAGCAGAACAAAGGCAGTACAGGAGGGGCAGTACAGAGCAAGGGATCCAGGTTCAATTCCACCCTCGGGCGACTGTCTGTGTGGTCTCTGCATGTTCTCCCTGTGTCTGTGTGAGTTTCCTCCGGGTGCTCCGCTTTCCTCCCACAGTCCAAAGATGTGTGGGTTGTGTGGATTGGCCATGCTACATTACCCATTGTGTCCAGGGTTGTGTAGGTGGATTAGTATTGAAAATGCAGGGTTACAGAAATAGGTCAGGGTGGGATGCTCTTCAGAGGGTTGGTGTGGACTCAATGGGTTGAATGGCCTGTTTCCATACTGTAGGGATTCTATGAGGACAAGCCGTCTTTATGCAGCGAGTGATTTTTATCTGGAATGCCATTGCCTGAGAGTTGGATACTCACCCAAAGAAAAAACAGTTGCAAGACCAGGGAGGCTGGCACAATACGCTGAACGGGTTCTTTCCCTTCTAGACCCATTATATAATTTGAAGACATACCTCTCATATTGTGAGCTAGCTGAAAGCTCACCTCTGCTCTATGATATATAAACATGTACACTCTGTGCCAGCTGGTTTGATTTACAACATATTCAGCTCCTGAGAAAGTTCATATGGCTCATTGCACAGGATTGTGGTTTTGCTCTACGGCCCCTACATCTGCTTAACGTTAGTGTGATTCCATTGTGTGAGATGTGTGCCCCTCGCTTTAGACAGATCCCTAACAGTCTGTGATACCGAACAGTCAGAACATCTTAACGCTCTAGCATTGTGAAGCCAAACACTCAGACCCAGACCTTCGCAGCTTCGGCTGCGACTCCAAACGATGTTAATTTCACAATAGATACCTTGCTTGCAACATGCATTTCGACTTTGCAAATCGGTGCATTTGCAGAGAACCGTGCAATCATTTCAAGAACAATGAATACAAACCTATTCCAAAGCTAACTGCAGCAAAAGTGCACTGCAAAACTGCATCTCAAATTTTAAAAAATCGAGACAGACACTGGGCGTGTTTCTAGTCGGTAACCTGTCGTTTTATAGCTGCGATTTCATCCCAATTGGTCATTGTGACGCTCCCAGGGAATATCAGAGTAAATAAAATGAACACAGTCCACATGCGGGGCAAAGTTTGCAATTTCCCTTGTGCATACCTCTCGCTTCTTGAAGGAGCGACTCTGCCCTCTTCGCCCAGCGGCTGGATGCTGAAGTGTTTTTCCTTTTTTATTATTTTCTTGGACCGGACCAGCTTTGTACAACTGTCGATCGCAAGTCAACCTTCAGCGATGATGACAGAGGTGGGACAGAACAGGTGAAACTAGAGCAGCCCAGAGCCAGGAATCACTGCCCCCCGAGTGTCAGCTTTCCTGAGATTTCCCTGATTTATCTACCACCCCCACTTCATTCCCACATCTGTGTGTTCAACTAGACAGGAGCTCCCCTTGGTGTTCAAAGCCAGTCATAACCACTCCAGCAAGCTACACAGAAAGTGTAACTGTATGGAGTGAAAATTATCTCGCGGAAACAGTGATCATAAATGATATTTACACAGACATCAATGCAGCCTGTATTTTTTCTGTACTCGATATTATCAACCGATGGAAAGTCAAAAGAAAATCAACAACTTGCATTTGTATAACTTAATAGAACTTTCTGAAGAGCTTTCGCAGGTAAAACTTGAGCCCCCAGACCAAGGAGGAGCGTTCTGAGGGTCACCGGACCTGAAACGTTAACTCTTGATTTCTCCTTCACAGATGCTGCCAGACCTGCTGAGCTTTTCCAGCAATTTGTTTTTGTCGAAGAAGGAGCGTTGTCTGGTTGGAGGAGGGGATAGAGAGAGGGAGGGCGACCTCAGAGTGGGGGTGGAAAGTTTTGAACAGGTTTTGAAAATTATTGATGGAGGTGAGAGGCAATGTTGTTCAATCCTCAAAGGGAAGATAGATTTGATTTGATTTATTGTCATGTGCATTTATTACGAATACAGTAAAACGTGTTATTTAGTGCTGCCATTCCCCAATACCATCTTTAAATACAGAAAATAAGCCAGAACACAGAATATAAAGCCAGAAAAATAAAACAATAAAGTTCACCTTATAAGTCTTATTTCAATAAAGTTAAGTGGTCTTTGGAACTTCCAGCTCAGTCATGGGCCTGGATCCTCCACCCTGACGCCTCGAGACACTGCTGCTAAACCGACAAACACTGACCGTAACCGCGCTCCACTGGAACAAAGGGTTACCACGTTCCAGTGCCATCTTGCCTCCACCAACATCGCCACCATGAGGTCACGCTGGGCCAACCTCGCCGATGCAGCTGCCACTGGTGCCACAGGATCCTACACTGGTACCAGTCTCACCGCCTTCGCCGTCAGGTACCCAGGCCTAGCCGCGGATCTGGGGCCTCAGCTCAGCCTGCGAACCAGGGCTTGGGGTCTGGGGAGGTCGAGTCAGGGCTGGGACCGGCTTCTTGCTCACCGCGAGACCTTCAGCCACATCCGCCTCGTCCTAGCGTTGTTGCTGTCGTTGCCGGACGCCTTCTGTTTCAACAGCTACTCAGCCTCGACTGCTCCCTGGGCCCTCAACGCTATCTTCACCGCGTTCCACACGGAACCCTCTTTCGCAGACGCCACTGCTGACTCTGATCCAAGTGATTGGGGTCTTGCTGTGCGTTAGGATGCAGGACGCAGAAGTAATCAAATCAAGAAGGAAGCTACCTGTGAAATGGGGTAGGATATAAAACCTTGGTGGAGGAGCCCAAATCCAGGCCCATGACTGAGCTGGAAGTGGGAACTGTTCCAAAGACACCTAACTTTATTGAAATAAGACTTACAAGGTGAACTTTATTGTTTTATTTTTCTGGCTTTATATTCTGTGTTTTGGTTTAGTTTCTGTGTTTTAAGATGGCGCTGAAAAGTGGCTGCAATAAACAACAATTTTCACTGCATTTACACACATGACAATAAACCAAATCAAATAAAATAAAACCTATTTTACCTGCAAGGATTGAACAACATTGCCTCCATCCTCCACCAATATTTTTCAAAAGATCTTCAAAACTTTCAAACTTTTAAAACTTTGCTTCAGCTAATTCAGGCAATTAAACAAGTCATGGTATATTTTAAATTGGATCCATTTGGGGCAGTACCCAACAGCACTGTGGGTGTATCAACGCCAAATTGATTGCTGCAATGGGTTGCGAAGGCAACTCGCCACTACCTTCTGAAGAGCAATTTGGGAGGGGCAGTAAATGCTGGCTAGTAGTGAGAGGACTATGCCATTTCATGAATGAATCTGATCTGTAGTTTCTGGATGGAATGGATGTGGAGAAGATGCTTCAACTGGTAGGGGAGACTAGGACCTTAAGGCACAGTTTGAGAGTGAAGGGGCATCCCTTTAAAACCTGTGAGATGAGGAGGAATTTCTTCAGCCAGAGGGTGGTGACTCTGTAGAACTCATTGCCACAGAAGGCTGTGGAGCCCAAGGCATTGAGTGTATTTAACCCAGAGATTGTTGGTTTTTGATTAGTAATGGGATCAAGGGTTACGGGGAGAAGGCAGGAGAATGGGGTTGAGAAACATATCAATCATGATCGAAGGTCAGAGCAGATTTGATGGGCCAAATAACCCAATGCTGCTTCTATATCTTATGGTCTTATAGTCTCTGGTCCAATGGAAGAAATATGTAGCTTTGTGAGCTGTCTTCAGCTGTCAGTATTGGCTCATGATCATTCTCTTGGCCCTGAATTCAGAAGATTGCATGGTCAAACCCCTCTTCAGAACTTTAAGTACACAGTGTAAGTTGTTGGTTCAACGTAGGACTGAAAATGTATTGCACCGTCAAAGGTACATTGTCTCAGATGAGAAAACCAAAGACTCTTCTATCCTATCAGGTGGCTGTAAAAGATTCTTCAAAACTATTTGGAGAGTATGGGAATGGCCCTAGCCAACTTATTTCCCTAATGAAATACCATCCAAACCGATACTCGGGGCATTGATCTGACTGTGGCTTTGGGTGTTTGCCTCGCAAATCTTCTGCTTTTTTCCCTTCTTTGTGATAATAAGTACAGGTCAAGAGAATTTTTGGCTGTAGAGCATAAATAAATAAAAGTTTTTTTTTACCTTTGTCCATTTATCCCTGGCAGTCCCAATTAGGAACATAGGAATAGGAGTAGGCCATTCAGCCCATTGATCATAGTCTGCCATTCAATTACATCAAAGCTGATCCTCTCCTCTACCTCAAAGCCATTTTCCTACACATTCTCCATATTTCTCAATGCCCTTAATCACCAGCAACCTATCAATTTATGTTGTGAAGCTGCTCAATGATTGAACTTCCACAACTCTCTGGGTAGAGAATTCCAAAGATCCACCACGTTTGAGTCTTAATTGGCCTACTCCTAATCTTGAGATTGTTCTAGAGTCGCCAGTCAGGGGAAACATTCCATCTGCCTTTTCTGTGTCATGCCCTGTAAGAATTTTATAGGTTTCACAGAAATCACCTCTCATTTCCAGCATGGTGGCTCAGTGGTTAGCACTGCTGCCTCACAGCACCAGGGACCCGGGTTCGATTCCACCCTTGGGCGACTGTGTGGAGTTTGCACATTCTCCCCATGTCTGTGTGGGTTTCCTCCGGGTGCTCCGGTTTCCTCCCACAGACCAAAGATGTGCAGGTTAGGTGAATTGGCCATGCTAAATTGCCCTTAGTGTTCAGGGATGTGTAGATTAGGTGGGTTACAGGGGGATTCGCCTGGGTGGGATGCTCTGAGAGTCGGTGTTGACTTGTTGGGCCGAAGGGCCTGTTTCCACAGTGCAGGGATTCTATGATTTCTTGAAAGTCCAGAAAATACAGACACTGCTTCCTCAATCTCTCCGTATTAAACAATCCTGCCATTCCAGAGTTCAATCTGGTGAACCTCCATTCCACTCCCTCTATGGAAAATCAATCTTTCCTTAGATAAAGAGACCAAAACCATACACAGCACTCCAGGTGACCAAGGTCTCATCATCATTCTCGTCGTCCTGAGAGGAAGGGAAATAGGTGATCTCATAATGCAGATACATTCAGCTAGTCCTTGCCCCAACATGTGGTACAGCAGTCTACCTTAAACTAAGACAATTATGAGAAGTTGGCCTAAGTAGGAGATGATTTTAGTGATGCTCCTAAAGAAGGCAAACTGTGCCATACTAGTGAAGAGCATTTCTGTCTATAACAAGGCACACAGGCAAGTATGAGCCTCACGAGGACTGTGTGTCAGAAAGGAGGACCTTGTTTTCTAGTGCATTGTGCTGCAATTCAACAGGCGTTAATACATTGAAAATAAGCTACTGGGTCCACCAAGCCCTCTTTGTGCGCATTCTTTCTCCAAGTACCTAACCATAGCTGTAGAGATAGTAAGAATTGCAGGTGCTGGAGTCAGAGATAACACAGTGTGGAGCTGGAGGAACATAGCAGGCCAGACAGCATCAGAGGAGCAGGAAAGTTTCGGGACCCGAAACGTCAACTTTCCTGCTCCTCTAACGCTGCCTGGCCTGCTGTGTTCCTCCAGCCCCACACTGTGTCAACCATAGCTGTAGCCTATCTAATTTCCTGAAAGACTTCCTGCACAGATACAGCCTTGTATTCCACAAAGATTCAAGATTTTCAAAGCAACAAGAGATTAAAACCATATGGACCAGAGAGGTCCTGGGTTTAAGAAGTGGACTGTGCAGGATCTTAGATCTTAGAATCCCTACAGTGTGGAAACAGGCCCAACAATACCACATCGACGCTCAGAGCATCCCATCTCCCTATAACCCACCTAATCTACACATCCCTGAACACTACGGGCAAATTAGCATGGCCAATCCACCTAGCCTGCACTTCTTTGAACTATGGGAGGAAACCAGAGCACCCAGAGAAATCCCACGCAGAACTGGGGAGAATGTGCAAACTCTACACAGACAGTTGCCCAAGCATGGAATCAAACCCAGATTGACTGATCTGAGTCAAATTTATTGTAAGAACACAACGGCAGTGAATGTCCTGGGAGCTGTTCTTGTTTTACTGCCCTACATTTCTCAAAAGTGTATTGGAAATCCTGTTCATGTTTATAAATTCATCTTCACAGTACAACATTAATTTCTCAGGCAGACATAAAAGATTCCATGATCACTATTAGAAAAAGAGTGAAGGAGTTCTTCCTAATGACCTGCTTAATATGTAGCCATCACCATGCTGTTTTTTTTTGCTGCGATTAAACTTCTAAATTACTCCATTGGAGTCATACCTGGCACATAGAAAGATGGTTGTAGTTGTTGGAGATCAGTCATCTCAGCTCTAGAACATCTCTGCAGGAGTTCCTCAGGGTAGTGTCCTAAGCCCAACTG